ACCAGTGAGTTATTAGTTTTCAAATGATACCTCAAAAGGCATATTTTGCACAAAGATTATTACAATAGTGTGTAGGGTATGAATACAGGGGTGCATTCGGTCTCAGCATCAGTACATCATCCTTTGAAATGATATTGCTCAGCTTGTAACTACCTAATTCAGCAGTGGATAAAGTTTCCCTGTTTTCATGTGTACAATTATTCAGGACTTCCGCACTCCCTTAGAAACTGGTATTAAGAGTAAAACACTGTAAATGAAACATTGTTTCAGAGCATTTTTAGAAGTATGACTTTTACCCATTTTGAAAATAAGTGGCTTCTCAAAGCCAGGTATTTTGAAATTTCTCGTTAGCTCTGGGAGGAACTCTTGGTTAGTATGTTTTTCCTGTGCTATAGTCAGTGACATTTTGATCTGAAGGCAAAATGGTCTCAATTAAGATAAAAGTAAATTCTGAATGATTTCTAAATAATCTGTTCATGACTCTGTGCTTAATGCATAAAGAATGTCACAAATATTGATTCAATGCCAAGTCCTTCCTGACAGAGGAGGAAAAATATGTTTGTCCAGATGCGGTGATGCAAGCAATTAGAAGCAGGAGTTGGAACATTCATAGCTGGATTAGAAAAAGAGGACAAGTGGTGCAGTAGACCAGGTTTTGGCATTAAGAAGCTTGTATACCTTGAGGTATGTGCACATATCTCAGGTCAGAAGAATGCCCCCAAAATCCCACAGCATGAAATCAAGCTTTCCCTTTAGATGAAACTACAGAACCTTCCTGCAACTGTGAAAGAGAAATGTTCTCTGGGCCCCAAACAGCGATACTGCTCAAATCTACCAGACTAAGACTATGTCTACATTACCACTGGATCGACGCTTTGGCGATCAATGCACCAGGGGTCGATTTAGCAGGTCTAGTGAAGACCTGATAAATTGACGACAGAGCGCTCTCCAGTCAACCCCGATACTCCATCAGGAACGAGAAAAGTAAGGTAAGTCGACGGGAGAGTGTCTCCTGTTGACTCAGCACAGTGTAGACACTGCAGTAAGTCGACCTAAGCTACGTTAACTCCAGCTATGTTATTCACATAGCTGGAGTTGCGTAACTTAGGTCGACTTACCACAGTAGCGTAGACATAGTCTAAGAAATGTTGTGGTTTGGGGGTGAGGGGAGAAACCATCTCCAGCCCAACATACCTACCCATTTTTGTTTGATCACCATCATACCTTCCTGCTTTTTACTATATCCCTCAATCCCCACCCCATGGAGAAAGAACTCTAGATTTGTCTGGAATTAATCTCTATTCTTTATATCAGTAGCCTTTCCAGACAACATATTCCATATGCTTGTTACCCTTTATGTGAAACAGTTCTGCTCAACTCCTCCATTTGCTCGTAGTTTCCAGAGCTTTAATTTATGCCCCATGATACACGCTCACCAATCCCCTTCCCCTTTTTCTATTATCTCCCCATTTCCTTCCAGAATAAAATGTTTAAAAAATACCCCAGACTTTTGTATTAATTTCACTACTTTCAAGAAGCAAGCGTTGTTATAAAGTCATTAAGACAACTTGGCAGGCTAACACAAATTGTTGCAGATACTTGGCATGCAGCCTTGTGCTCAACCTCAGAACTAAGGTGTTTATTAACAGACCAATAATATTGTATTTGTTTAGCTTCTAGTCCTAGAAATGCTATTTTTGTCTATTATTTAAAACTTGTGGAGCTGATGCTCACTTTCCTAAATTGTTTAATCTGAAAAATGGGTTTACTTTGGGACTTGTTTGCTCCTCCAGTCTAGCTCCTCCACCACCACCAGACAAAACCCTCACCACTGAAGAGTCAAATTTCCAAAAGCTTGCTTATGTGCTGAGCCCTTTGTGTATGCATATTCTCCATGCAAGAGAAATGTTTTTTTTTAAAGGAGTGGCTGGGTGTACACAGAATATGTGCATATGAGAATAGGCAGAAGAGTGCAGTGATTCTCAACCAGGGTACGCAGAGGTCTTCCAGGGGGTACATCAACTCATCTAGATATTTGCCTAGTTTTACAACAGGCTACATAAAAAGCACTAGTGAAACCAGTACAAACTAAAATTTCATACAATTACTTGTTTATAGTGCTCTATATACTATATACTGAAATGTAAGTACAATATTTATATTCCCATTCATTTATTTTATAATTATATGGTAAAAATGAGAAAATCAGCAATTTTTCAGTAATAGTGTGCTGTGACACTTTTGTATTTTTATGTCTGATTTTTTAAGAAAGTTGTTTTTAAGTGAGGTGAAACTTGGGGGTATGCAAGACAAATCAGACTCCTGAAAGGGGTACAGTAGTCTGGAAAGGTTGAGAGCCACTTGAATAGTAGGTGCAGAGACTAACTGTCCTTATTTAAATGATTGGGAAAACCAAACGGATTACCATGCTATAGCCCAACCTTTCCCTTCTCCCCCCATTAAACAAAACAAACAAAACCCTCAACATTTGTTAGACAAATGTTCGCTATATTTGTAATTTGGTAAAACACCTTTCAAGTACGTAGGAGCATCACTCCCAAACACACTTCTGGCTGACTCCTCTGAAGATGCTGAAAACAATCTGCAACACCAATTCTAGTTAACAAACTTGGTCTTTTCAATACACTGGTTCAGGAATGCCTGCAAAAATTTTTCACAGAGAATGGCCCAGGACTCCCACCACCTCTCTCCTGGTAGGCTCCCCCTTGTGGACATATACCACCTCTCATGAAGCTGTAGAGTTTGCGCAGAGCAGAGGGGACACTGGCTACTGGAAGAGGAGTCAAGTTGGGCAGGCCCGAGAGGGAGCGGGGGAGCCCCTGTTGAGGGAACTGGCCCCATAGCAATGGCAAGGAAGGGCAGTGCTGGCCACTTCACTGCCCACTCAGGTTTGGCCCTGCAGCCCTCTGTCCAAACCTGAGTAGCACTGAGCAAGTTACAATGCCACCCAGTTTTGGCACTGTAAACCCCAACCCCATCCTGATGGAGGGGCCCTGGGACCAAAATTGAGTGACGCTGCAACCCCCTGTACCAGGTCACACGACCACTCACTCAGTTTGGGTCCCGTGGTCCCCCTGTCATTATGGAGGGGCCACGGGGCCAAACCTGAGCAGGTAGTGACGCAGCCAGCACTGCTCCTCCTCACCACTGCCATTGGGAGGGCTCAACGCTGATGATTTGGCACCCATGCCAATGGTATGCACCATACTGGTGCCAGTGCACTGGTTTACGATTGTTTTCCATTTCTTCTTCTGTTTAGAGAAAAATTAGTTCAAGTGCATTAAGACATAAGACCAGGTATGCTTTCTTTAATAGAAAGGTCATGGGAAAATTAAACATACAATTTACACTTTTGAAGGGAAAAGTATCAGAGCCTTGCTGGAGATGCTACAACATTAGCCTCTCCTAATGGTTATCATTGCTACAGAACAAGTATACACTTCACACTGTTTACGACTTTCGCTGAGATCAGAAGAAATTATTAAGTAAGTTAAATATAAAGGGAGAGTACCATTAATAATTACAACAGTTAAAAGACTCTTCCATCCCTTTCTTTCCCATAAGCCTACACCTACCTGTGGTTTGTCTTCTATTATGCACAAACAGAAAGGAAAAGAAAAATCTGTCACTGAGAGTCACTTTACCCGCTTCAGGTCCACCACCATTATTTTTGTGACACATGCCACATCTCAATTTTGTATTGCTCATCAAGCCCGGAATTGAGACATAATGAATACAGAGAAGGTAACAGCTTGAACTGGCATTCATCATTTCCTCTTCAGTATTTGACTTACGTTGAGAGGAACTGTAAAATCTGTTTAGAAATGTATGTGGGCAATTCAGATAGTAAATTATCCCTTTTTTTTTTTAAAGGAAACTAAAGCCAAATTATTCACCTCTTCCATCCCTAACACTTTCAACAAGGAAAAAAGGAAGGCAAATTGTCCAAGATTACATATTGTTACAGTGATTCTCTGCTTCAGCGGTAAATTGGAAGATGATTCTACTGTATAGTCAAGAAGAACTCTCAGAATGAATGCACTGGTTAGAGAGTGACAAAATCTTACCATAGGCTTCTTATTTTGAGACAATCTAATTTAAGATATTTAGAACCAGAAGTTTTTAGTTAAGCCTCAACACAGCCTCCAATACTACAGCTGAATTATTCAGTCCCACAACTGCACCCATTTAGTCACTGAGGCCCTGATCCACTATCATTAAAGTCAATGGGAGCTTTGCCACTCAGTTAAATGAGTGTAGGATCAAGCCCCTAGCTCCCAAGTTTACGTGCGCACACATTTACTTACGCTTCTAACTGGGTGCAACTTCAGGGGTAAGAAAAAAAAAGTGTCTGCAATTTAGTACTTGAACTGCAAGCGTAAAACTGCATCTGCAGTACTGAAGGCCTTTTTTTAAAAACACACTTAGGTTTCTGTTTATTATTCAATGACTTCGGTTTAAGAAGGTAATTAGAGCAATCATCTACATTTTGTTTATAATTCACAACTAACAGTTCAATGGGTTTTATTTTTATTTTTTTTAAACAAAGGGATTTTTTTTAGTTGATGAGCTAGTCAACCACCCACAAAGTCTACTGAATGCAAAGATTACACTGTAATGAATATAAGAGAGAAAAATTAGAAATAAAATACAGAGCATTATATAGCTCACAATTTAGATAATCCTATTGAGTGTAACGCACAAATGTAAGCAATTGACTGGCACCTCCTTGTCCAATGAGGTCTAGCTGTTTTCTACATCTAACTTATAATTGAGGGGTATTTTAGCTTTGACCGCTGATAATGTTTATTTATCTGCTCCACTGATAGGTTAGTTTGACAGTATGGTGTTATCTTAATTTTTCTTCTTGAAACAAAATTTTAACAAAAGTTTCATCCTTTAGACACAGGAAGCTGAAGACTGTTTACAATATACAAATACACAAACAAGAATTACATCATTAAGCGCTGCTTACTAACCTGCATGAGTTCATTGCTGTCAATCAGATTGTCTTCCAGCATCTCCTGGGTTAGTTTGCCCATGGTACTGTAGAATTCATCTGCAGTTTCACAGCATTCAATCTGCCTGTATCACAACACAAATTTTTCTGTGATCTAAACTAATTATACATTTCATAGTGAACTGTATTCTCTGTAGGGTAATCATACAGAACGCCCCCTATATTACTGACTTAAAAACTGCGGTTTTTTGCAAAGAAAACCACCATTATAAAAACCAGAAGATCACAAGAAGTCTTATATGATAAGGGGGATGAGCGCGCACAGTTCACTGTACTGAGAGAGTAGGCCACTCTCACTCTGTGTTAGTGCATGTCAGGAATTCAAATATGGATTAACATGTGAAACCCTTGATATGCTAGGAATGGCTGCCATAGTCTAGTAGCAGAGTAGGGAAGGAGAGTATTTTTGGTAGGGAGATTATTTTTGTAAATTCAGTCTGAATGCTGGATAGTATGGAGTGGAAAAGAAAAATCTGCAGTGTCATAATCTGCCCGTCACTAGTGTTACGCACTCTTAGGGCCCTACCAAATTCACAGTCCATTTTGATCAATTTCACAGTCATAGGATTTTAAAAATAATAAATTTCATGATTTCAGCTATTTAAATCTGAAATTTAATGGTGTTGTAATTCTAGGGGTCCTGACCCAAAAAGGAGTTGAAGGGGGTTGCAAGGTTATTGTAGAGGAAGTTGCAGTACTGCTACCCTTACTTCTGTGCTGCTGCTGGCCTTCAGAGCTGGGCAGCTGGAAAGCAGCGGTGGCTGGCTAGGAGTCCATCTCTGAAAGCAGAGCCGTCGCTTGCAGCAGTGCAGAAGTAAGGACGGCATGGTATGATATCGCCACCCTTACTTCTGTGCTGCTGCCTGCAGAGCTGGGCCCTCAGTCAGCTGCCTCCACTCTCTGGCCGCCCTGCTCTGAAGGCAGCAAAGCAGAAGTAAGGATGGCATGGTATGGTATTGCCACCCTTACTTCTGCCCTGCTGCTAGGGGGGTGCTTTCTTCAGAGCTGGGCGCCAGGCCAACAGTTGCCACTCTCCAGCCATGCAGCTCTTAAGGCAGCACAGAAGTGAGGGTGGCAATACTGCGACCCCCTAAAATAATCTTATGATCCCACCCCTGCAATTTCCTTTTGGGTCAGGAGCCCCGATTTGAGAAACTCTGGTCTCCATTGTGAAATCTGTATAGTATAGAGTAAAAGCACACAAGAGATGAGATTTCCCAGGGAAGACCAGATTTCATGGTCCGTGATGCGTTTTTCATGGCCCTGAATTTGGTAGGGCCCTATGCATGCTATATGGAAAGTTGTAAAACGTTACAGCTGTGAAGGCTATAAGGATTACATTTTTAATTTTAAAAGTTGCACAGAACTGCATTTTGTCAGCACAGCAGCACATACTGTATAGAAAGCTTTATTTTTTAATGGCAGAAGATGAGTCAGGCCTGTGACTAGACCCAAGTGTTGCTGTAATTACAGAATTAGAAGCTAAAGGTGCCAGGGAGCAGATTTTCAGACTTATTTAGTTTATACAATCAGGAGCAAATCACTTTAAGCAAGGTAAGTCCCCTGCAGAGACAGCAGCTCTCCCAAACATTATATACCTGTTGTATAAATGGCAGACGTATTCTTCCTGTGTGAAAGAAATTATGTGGAAAGAAAGGTCGAAATACACTTAACATAGAGATATGACGAGAAAAGAAAATGAATATGTGGATTTAAGTCACCAAGATGACATCAGAGAAATAGTTACAGGCGAATATTTTCGTAAGTGACCAGTGATTTTGGGTGCCCATCTTGAGACACCTTGAAAGGGCCTGATTTTCTGAGGGCAGGTGCACAACACTTTCTGGAACGCAGGCCCTTTGTCAGGTGTCTCAAATTGGACACCCAAAATCACTAAAAAGAAAAGGAGTACTTGTGGCACCTTAGAGACTAACCAATTTATTTGAGCATAAGCTTTCGTGAGCTACATCTCACTTCATCGGATGCATACTGTGGAAAGTGTAGAAGATCTTTTTATATACACACAAAGCATGACAAAATACCTCCTCCCACCCCACTCTCCTGCTAGCTTACCTGCAGGAGAGTGGGGTGGGAGGAGGTATTTTTTCATGCTTTGTGTGTATATAAAAAGATCTTCTACACTTTCCACAGTATGCATCCGATGAAGTGAGCTGTAGCTCACGAAAACTTATGCTCAAATAAATTGGTTAGTCTCTAAGGTGCCACAAGTACTCCTTTTCTTTTTGCGAATACAGACTAACACGGCTGTTACTCTGAAACCAAAATCACTAGTCACTTTTGAAAATCTTAGCCACTGTTTCTACCAAGTCTACTTTATTTTATATTACCTTTAACCATGTCAAAGTTAAACAAACAAACAAACAAGGAGGACTTTACAAATCCCTTTACAAGCTGGCTATAGTATAGAGTTTCCTGGATTTCTAAAGAACATAAACACACTCACTAAATTTCGATCTTATAGGGCTCATCTTCATGAACAGCTCTGTAGCAGCACAGCTACACCGGTGCAGCTGCGCCACTGTAGCGCTTTAGTGAAGATGCTCCCAAGCCTATGGCTTCTCCCCGCTGCGCAGTGAATCTACCTCCCCAAGAGGTGGGAGCTATGTCGGCAGTAGAAGCTCTCCCGCCAACATAGCGCTGTCTACATGGTGGGACTAGGTCAGTATAATGTCACTCAGAGGTGTGGATTTCTGACATCCCTAAGCAACATATTTATACCCATACAGGTCTGCAGTGTAGACCTGGCCTTCGCCTCCATGCTACCAATTTAAATCTACTGACATTGAGGGACACAGGGATGGTACTGGAAGAATGGTATCAATGGAAGTCTTCCAACCCTGCAGAAAGTGACTTCCATTGGTCAGTAGAATCAAGGTCTCCTGGGCCAGCATGGAGTAAGGAGTATCTTTCTAGGAACTCTTGACAGAAAAGGTGTGGTGGGGTGTCCACTCCACACAACTCTGGAGTGGGTTAACGTGGGCCAGAAGGGGCCAATTCATTTTATATGCTGCACCTGGAGGGAAACCAGAGCTTGATAAGCACGGATTGCAGATGAAGCCCAGTGGGGGGAAGAGCTGGGATAGGAGTATAAAGCCAGGCACTGAGAGCAGGAAGAGGCAGCAGGGAGGAGCTCTTCAGTCACTCCCCTTGAGAGGAAGGGAATTGGCCAAGGACAATGAGGAGATCTAGGGGGAGAGTAAGCTCCGGGGTCCTGACACTCACCAAGGATTTTGACAAGAGGCTGAGAGGGGCATCGTAGCCACACTTTCAAGCAGAACAGAAGTTGCATGTTGTGGCTCGAGGCAAAGGGGTCTAACTTGAGAAAGTGCCCATCTGGATAACATGCCACTGAACATCTGCTGATCTAGCTCCAGTTTGTCAGTGACAGACTTCCTACTGAGCCAGTCTTTCTAGGAATTCAGTTCACTGACAATAGATCCCGCTTTGAATGACTCCTTTTGATCTCTAACAGCAATGAGACTTTTTTGACCTCCTGGCTCAGCAAAGAACTCCAGGTGTCTTCTTATTTGTTTACATAGGAGTTATATGTAGAGCTGCTTCTGATATGAAGGAGAATCTTTACTGCCTTGACCTTCACAATATTTCTCTCTACATTGTTGAGCAGGGAGGAAGTAATCTATTATAGAGTGGTATTCCTGGAATTACAACAAATTAACCTTTCCAGATCATCTATGACTTCCAGCAGCCACTGAAAACACTATAGCCTGCCTCTTACAAAGGAGAATGAGTACAGAAAGAAAACCTGAGTCACCTACTGTGGGTGTCTAAAGTTGGGAGTTGTCATAGGAATTGGAGCTGCTACTTCTAACTGAAATGTCAGGACATGTTAGCTGAAATGAAGACTGATCAGTGCAAAAGAATAAAGATAGAAAGTTTTTCATACAGTGTTCATAAGTACATGTTTATTACATGCATGTGATATTACAGCTTCTTCGGTTTCCAGATACTTGATTCTGACTGTTTATATCTGACGTTGGTCTACATATGTACAAAATCAGAGGCCAGAAAAGCAGTGCTCCATTTCCTCCAAAACAGCACCTCCATGAGCTCCTGAAGACTTGAATGCAAAATGCTGACATTACTTCACTTTTATTTCCAGACATTTCTTTTGTTGTTACTACTACTACTACTACTAGAGAGTGAAAAATTCTCAAAGAGAATGGAGAGAGACAGTTATAGTCTAAGGGATTAAATACAAGATTGGAAACCTGCCTGAGCTCTTGGGGAAAAGTCATTTCACTTACTTCAGTTACCCAATCTATAAAGTGGGGATAAGACATCCCCTGCCTACCTAACAGGGTTGTTGTGAGGATTGACCAATTCTCACTATAATAACTACAACTATGAGCTAAATATATAATTATACTTCTGATGAGAAGCACCAATGTCTGCAATCCATGACAGAGCTTAGGGCAGCAGTCCTACGCATTCACAAATTAATTCATTTTAGACAAAAGCAGAACAACATGAGTCTGTGCATTATCTCAAAAGAAATTCATTTGCGAAAGATCATTTGAAACTAGATTGCAGAGGTGGGCTAAAACTGTCAAAGATAAGACCAAAAATAGAATTCTGACTACAATATACCGTTACTGAGAGTGGTGATCTATTAAAAATTGCCTTCCAGATAACACCTACCCCATGTGAAGGGAAAAAAATATGTTCTCTTCTTCCAAGTAAAACTGCATGTGTTTTATCCTACTTCCTTATCAGTGACACTGAGGTTTCTTGTCTCCTTTCCTCCTCTAACCCTTCACCTGCTCCAGTCAACCCATCTCCTCCTGCCTCATGATATTCCTTTTGCCCACTCTCCATACCACCCCTTTCTCCTTAACCTCTCACTTTCATTAGGTTTCTTTCCCTCAGAACAGAAGTGTGTTATGGTCTCCCTGATCCTAAGCAAAAGCACCTCCCTCTCCAACTAACAGCCCATCTCTTTTCTCCCCCTTCACCTCTAGATTCAGTGAATGTGCCATCTATAATCGTTGCCTCAAGTTCCTCTCCCCCCAGCTCCAACCTTGACCCCTTACAATCTAATTTCCTCTCTCTCTACATGCTACTGAAAAAAAAAATCACTAACAATCCCTCCTCAGCCAAATCTCAGAACCTCACCCTCTTTCACCTCTTGGCTGCCTTTGACATGGGTGCTCAGAACCTCCTTCTTGAAATCTGGTCATTTGGCTTCTATGACTGCCCTTCCTGCTTCTCCTCTTACATCTCTGGTCACTTCGGTATCTATTTCTGTGGAAGTCCCACAGAATTCTGTCCTCAGCCCACTCCTCTTCTCCCTCCATGCCTCTTCTCTAGGTGACCTCATTTTCTCAAACAGCTTCAACTACCACATCTTTGCTGATGACTCTCAAATCTGCCTTTCAACTATCTGACTTTCAGTCCTGCATTGCAGCCTACCACTCTAACATCTCTTCCTGGCTGGCAACCGAAACTTAATGTCCAGGCCATGCCAAAATCTTGCTGTTTGTTCCTCCATCTCTTTGTCTACCCAAAGAGAACTCATCCAAGTCCTCATCATCTCTTGTCTCAACTATTGCATACTCCCCTCTTTGGGCCTTCATGACACCACTTCATTTTCCTTATGTCCATTCAAAATGTTGCTGTTAATATCATTTTCTTGGTCCATCATTCTGACTATGTCACTGCTGTCTTTGAGTCTTTCACTGGCTCCTCCTCCAGCACAACAAGTAGGAGTTTCTGATCCTTACCTTTAAGGCCTTTCACAACATAGCTCCTCCTTGCTTATTAGTATCCAATCCTTTCTACATCTATTTAGCCAGCATCTCTTGCCTATTTGACTGCTTCTCCCTCAAGTACCGTTGAGCTTTGTTCCCTTATGCTGCCCCTTACATTTGGAACACTCTGCCCAAACTAGCCCATAAGTCCTACCCTTTTCTCCAAGTCCCTCATCACAACCTACTTCCACCATGATGCCAGCTAACAATGGGTATAAAGATGCCCTGTATGATTTCTGATGTTTATCTTATTTATTTGGCCTGTGTAAAACATGTTCTTATTAACCTTTCCCTCAACTGCCTGCTGCCATTCTTTCCAATTGTTTGTTATTTCCACTTTGTAAGTCTTGTCTTATTTAGATTGTTGGTAAACTCTTCACATCAGAGAACTTCTTTTGTTCTATGTTTGTATAATACCCAGCAAGATGGGGCTCTGATCCTGACTGAGGCCTCTAGAATTCCAGGTGAAGTGGGAAGTCCGTGCACAGAGGTCCTGTGGGACTGGGCCCATTGTCTGTAGATAACATAATACAAAATAATAATAACGCTATGTCTAGTTTATTCTAAATGCGAACAGCTCAATTCATGAATAAAGCCCGAGTAAGAACAGGTCTTAGCTAATTATTCACCATTTGCCAGTTACAAAAAAAAGCAATTATTTTTCAGATTAAACATGCAAGATACAAAACCAAATATAATGTAAAAGCACTTGCCTGTGGTGCTGAAGTTTTAAGTGGTAATTTATTTTGCAAATTTAGAAGACCTCTTGGGATACTGCTACATATACATTTTGTCAATATTTTTAATATTTTAATTTTATATTAAAGGAAAAGGTTTGTTGCTAGGAAGGTAGGCGGTGCTGGGTATCAGAGGAAAAGATTGGATGCAGCTGCTGAATCCAACAGAGTTTTCCAGCTGACACTAGTAGATACTTGGCCTGCTCCTGCTCACATTTCCCAATGAAGTCAGTGACAAAACTCTCATTAACTCCAAAGGGATTTGGCCCTCTGTTTGGAATGTAAACATCTGCAGTGATGAAAGTAGTTCAGAAAAATCATTCCATTACATGTGTCCTTAAAAAAAAAAACACCTAGATTTGTATTCAATGATTGATCCCTTACAAAATGAGACAGCTTGCATGTTGCAGATTTCTCAGCACCTATACATTATCCTTAATAAAATCTTGGTTAAAAATGTTCTTTAAAGCAATTGCTTCCACAGATAGTTTCCAGAAAACTTATTGGTTAACACCCATTCACCAGGCAATGCATTGTAGAGAGGAACATGAGGCTTGTAATGAGCTCAGCACTACTGTAACTACACTTTAGCAATGTATGTTCCTTTCTGAAAATAAGCACAAATTTTAACAGTGAGGGTAATTAACAATTGGAACAATTTACCAAGGACTGTGGTGGATTCTCCATCACTGGCAACTTTAAAATCAAGATTGAATGTTTTTTTCTAAAAGATATGCTCTAAATAAACAAGAATTCAGAGAAGGCCTGTGAATCTAATGTTTCTTAAATACAGTACAGACAAGGAGCCTCTATGCACAGAACTCCCATTGATTTCACCTAGAATTCTGTGTGCAGTGGGCTTACAGAATCAGACCCAACATTTTAACATAGATATTATATATGCTATGTAATTAACTATAGACATTTAATAGGGTGAAGCCCAATAAGTCATCCCACCCTTCTTTCTGTCATTGCCAGATTGTTCCCTAGAATACATTTTATAGAATGCTATATTGCCACTTTGTAAATCTATTTTAAAAGTAATAGTTTCCTGCAAGGCCATGCCTTGTTTATATCTGGAATTTGCACTTCAGAAAAATAATACGTATTAAAACCATATATGTTGCATGCATTGCACAAAAAAGAAGGAAAAATCACTTACTCGCCTAACTTTGCCCAGATAGCCAGTGCTACTCTCAGTATAACTTCAGACCCTTCAAAGAATACTGAATCCCAGATCTTTAAAACTGTATGGTTAGGAAGGCATGTAGCAAAGAGGGTCAGGAACCACTGCATTGTGAAGACATTGGTAAGTGGGGGTTCATAGCCTCCTAAAATGGAAAAATTAAGATAGCAAGTCATTCACAGTTCATTATTCCCCAAAGTTACTTTACAATGTTGTGCAAACTGGTGCAGTGCCGCATTCTGAAGACTGCCAATAGTTCCAGTGCCTCTGCTGCTGCTCAAAGCTTTCCCAGTCTGCAGCTGTCCACAGGGTTCTGAATAACAGCAGTGAAAAGTAACATTGCGAATCACTCTGCTGCAGTATAGGAAAACTGAGGCTATACCTACACTAGAGACCTTACAATGGCACAGCTGTACCGATGCAGCTGTGTCACTCTAAGATCTCCCGCGTGCCCACTCTATGCTGACAGGAGAGAGCTCTCCCGTTGACATAATTAAACCACCTCCAACGAGCAACAGCAGCTAAGTTGGCAGGAGAAGCTCTCCTGCTGACATCGTGCTGTGCACACGACCACTTATGCCACCGAAACTTATGTCGCTTAGGGCTTTGGGTTTTTTTCCACACCCAGAGCAACATAAATTTTCCTGACATAAGTGGCAGTGTAGACATGGCCTAAGCAGCAGCAGAGGTGCTGGTGATGTCTGTAGATTCCAGAAGTTAGCACCACTTAGTTAATACCCATTTCATATTTGGAAGGAGGGTTTTTTTGTACCCTGCAATCACAACAGCTCGATTTATAAGAAAAAAAACAAAACTCAAATTCTGCAGAAGTTGATGACAACTGTCAAAAAAAATCTCCTACTTGCCCGATGGGGACTGGTTCTTTTAAGTCCTGTCTATTGTATTAAAATCCTAGTGTCCTGCCTCAGCAGACACAGCTGTAATTTATTCGGTTTTCCTTTTGGTTTGCTAGCAGTTTCATAAAAGATTTAATCCTTCAGTTTGGAATTCTAAAGTTTCACTTTCTGGTGCCTGGAGCATGTTTCATGAATTTTGGTAGTGTGGATTGATTCATAGGAGGTCAGCGACGCTCCTCATCACCCACCAAAATTACTTGATCACCAAGCCAGCAAACATGAATTAAAGGCTTTTTGTTTATCTGTTTTTACACAGTTCAGGCAGCCATTCACAAGACTATCTCCTAGAAGACTCATTCTTTACAGGGGCCTTCGTAATGTTCAGGTTTGGAACTCAAGGGGCATTCAATTGTAGAATAACATCAGCTGTACTATGCTATGTGATGTGGTATTGTCAGATACCTAATTTATGGCATTGTCAACCCAATTCTGTCCACAGCTACTTATGGGGCTAAAGTATCTCCTCATTTGCTTCACTTGAGAGAGCTGTTGGTTCAAGATACGGTCACCAATATAAGAACCATCTCCTATCATGTTAACTATGTTAGTCAATTAGTAAAAGGTCAACTGTATTCTTACACAATTTTTAAAAATGTTGTTGTTCTCAAACTTTTAATACATACACATTTAAACCACAGTGTTCTTAAAACTGATGTTCAATGAGGCAAATGTGAAAAATAATTCAACACCATTTTTGTTGAACGCACCTCTACTTTCCCTATTTGCAGCTCTCTGAAGCGTATCCAAGTGCTGGGACAGTTCAGGAAGTTTCATTCTTAAAAGATCTCGGAAAACAGCCATATCCACAGACAATGCACGAAGATTATTGACAAAATAGCTATCAGGCAGTACTTTATCGATTAGGTAAATCATGATCTGTAAGAAAATGAGAAAAAGAGCAGTCAATCATTTATGATTGGTAAGAGAACAAATGATCTTCCAAGAACAGCAAAAACTCCTGCTCTAAAATATAAAATGCACTAACATGTTCTATTCCACTGAGCTATAGCTTAGATACGTTGGCAAGATGTGCCTTAGGTATCTGATGTTTAATTCTATATCTTATCATGAAAGAAGGCAACATTACTTTAAGCATCCGTAGACATTCCAGGTGCAGAGCACCTGCAGGATTGGGTCCGAAGTGTCAACTCTTCAACAGCAGCTTGCACTGCTAAGAGAGGAGTCTGGATAACTTCAAAAAATAACAGAATGTAAAAGACTGAGATCAGTCTAACAGAAGCCACACCACACAATAATGGAAGCAATATTCTGTTAATCAAAGCCAATTTTTGATACTTCTGTTGTTGTACGTGTTAGTGAGATGCTCTGAATTATTTAGGAAATTCTTAAATCCATTAAGTCTGTGCTTTTTAAATGTCACAAATGGAAGACTTGCTATCCTGGTCAGCATCTAAATTAATGGTTATGTATGTGATGCTGCTCTTTAGAAAGCACTCTTCCTGCATTTTAGCTGGCATGATGGGTTGCACTTCATCATCTCATTATACAAGGTAATAAACTGAGAAATATAACAATGCACAGCTCAACAAATATGTTTAATTATATAAAGAAGGCAACTATATTGACAATAGTTCACCAGCTGATTATGGTGAAATATTTAAGGATTGTAAAATGAGACAAATATAATTGCTACCATCTCAATGGAAATTGTTATATGCAAGTATTTAAAGGACTGATATATCACCACCTGCCCTTCCAATATACATACAGATGTTTTTGCACTGAATGACTGTGTCTTCCCTGACAGTGACTTTTTAAGCATTTATTAGAAATTTTTACACTTCTACGGATTTCATAGAATTAGCAGAAAAAAGTGTTATATGCAAATAAGCATGACATTTATTTTGCAGCAATTCATTATTTTTGTCTGCATGATTCTCAGAACTACCTTTATTCTTTCTTTGCAATATAATTAAGAGTCCCTTATTTCTCAGAATACATTTATCAGTCTTCTGTTTGCATTAGGATTTTTTTCTCCCTTGTGAAAAAAAAATTGTGCCTTATTTCTTTATCCTGTTCCCAAGCTTTTGGAACAAGTAATCTAATAATATGAATTAGATCTGTAATAAATATCCTTGCAGTTCCGCTAATTTCTTAATACGTCAGTTGTAAAGTACTATATTTAACAAAGCCACATGCACAATGGGTTCTATTTACATAATGGATATTGCTTTAAATACTCCGGACATGAAATAGAGAGCTAGAAAGAAAACAAAGCTTTTTATAAGACTTAAATATCCATTTCTGCCTACTTCATTGACATCAAAAGTGTTTAGGGGAGGGATTTTTTAAAATAGTGATGTACTTTATTAGCATCCTGTGGTACATTTTCCAGCAATTAGGATATTTCTCACTGGTGTTCAATTCTGTAATTTCTTCCCCATGCCAATCTGTTGTTTAATCTGTTTTTATAAAACCTCTTTAGTATTTTTTTTAAACTAGATGAATCACATGTGTGATTTTTTTTTTCACACAAACTATGGCACTCTTACCCATCATATCCATTTCTACTTCAGTTAGGTTAATTTAACTTACAGAATTTATAAGCAGTTTCTATCTGTATTGAACTGGAGATTTAACATTAACATGCTTACTTTAACTAGTGAAGTGTCTTAGGAACTGCTCCATTAATAAACTGGAGAACATGTGGTTGTCATAAAATAAGAGATTATAGTTGTAAATTATTAAGGCAATCACATAAGGCAATTATGTGGGGAAAAAAATTATACAAGGCAAATTTTACTCCATGATATATATTGGAACTGTTCTAATATTTTCCTAATGTTACAACTCTGTCTCTATAATAAAGCAACATATAAGATATCTATCTAGAAATGTATATGTGCTGGACTTTGACTCTGAGAGCTGTTATTTTTCCCACAGTTTCTAAGACTTAAATATATATAATAATATCTAGAGCAAGTTAAACACCACAGTATCTGAGAGAGTCATGATCTCCTTTAACAATTCAACCCCCATGGTAAACTCCTCATTTACATGAGCAAGCTGTATTTTAGGAAGGTCATGCATAACACTGGCAAATCTTGGTCCTGGTGCCCTGTAGCAAGGCAGGCGTCAGTTCTGTGGCTTGGACTCTGGAAATATAGCAGCAGCAGCTTTAACTTAAAATGGGAGGGTTCTAAACAACTTAAACATGGAAATGAGTAATACACTCAGTACAACAGACCCAGGATAATTATTTTGATATTCAATTCTACTTACTTCACACTGATCTCACACTTTGTTTCAAAGTGCTGCAGATTTTTGGACTGACAACACACAAATTCATCACAGAAGTTGTCAAGGAAAGTTGGAGGCTCTGGTTGCTAAGAAAAGCGCCAGTTGGTGCTTTGGAGGCAGTTTGGGATTGGATGAAATTCTGGCTCCACTGAAGTCAATGGGAATTTTGCCATTGACTTCACCGGGGCCAGGATTTTACCCATTATCTGGCTATTTTTGCAAAAATGGTCATCAGTGGACGTTAACAGGAGTGACATTTAAAATGACCCATTCAGATGGATCAGTTCTCTGTGAGCTGCTGTTTTAGGCTGTCTGCAAACGTATGCATTGTTTACACTAAGTTCACCTTTTAAAGGTAATCCTCACGATCACAAGGGTTAGAAACATAGCACACAGTTTCACTCACTTTCAGGGCATCCCCTTCATTGCCTTCCATTACTTCTAAGATGAGTGCAGCTAGTATATTAAAGCCTTGGCAATATCCAACTGATTTGTTCCATCTAGCATAAGCCAGCAGAACTCGTTTCAACACGACTCGGTCCTGCTCTGCCTCCTGGCCACAGTAAGAACTGCAACCAGTTCGGTGAAGATCCTAAAATAGGAAAGATATTTGAGATGTTCTCCTATTCCACTCCCTTACTTTTTGTCTCCCGCATCCTGTCAAACACACACATAATTATGTTACCACTGTTTGAAGAGATTAATTTTTATTTTAAAATGTTTAGCTGATTGAAGGAATGAAGTAGTTTGAGCAAAGGGCTGGAATCCAAGAAAGCCCCGAGTTCTAGCAGGAACTGAGCCACCAGCTCACTTGACCTCCTTGTTCCCGATCAACAGAGCAGGAAAATTGGGTGTAAAGAAGACCACTCTGTAAACCAAATGGTGCCTCTGAAACTAACCTAGATAAATAAATTACCAAAAGAGATGCCAGTATCTGACTGTCCCTGAAATATCAATAAGGTTACAAGCTATCTTCAAAGAGATAAAACATAGCTGCAAAATTATTTTTAAAACATTCTCATTTGTAAAGTGCTGTTTACTTCTGAAAAATTATCAAATCCAGAAAAAAGTGTTAAAAGAAAGTTGTACCCATATCTTAACCAGAAGCCTAAAAGAGAAATATTACATATCTCTTTTTTTCAAACACTTTTCTGCATAGAGAACGAAATAGAATGTGAATTTTAGTCAATGGAATATCGTGATTTGTTGCCACTATAAAGTATGGAACAAGGTACTAGAGTGGGTGGTTGTAGGCAACTAACATTAAAATTAGCAGCTGCAATTTCAAGTGCAGTTCTAGAGCTGAATATAAATGTTATCCTGTTAAACATATTATTTTCTAAAGACTCTTTTTAACACTGTGCTTTAGCAAACCCTTAGTCCTTTAGACATTAACAGTGCATTCTTTGTAATTGCACTTTGTGTTAGCAAATGAATAAAGCCAACATCTTTTTTGACATGCGAAGAAAAAATAGGAATCATTTGCATCAAACTGCAAAAATATTGCCAGACTCCTCATTTTTTATGCCAGCAAAAAACACATTGTTCTGGAGGTTGTAACTCGTTTGTGAGTGAAAGGCATAAACATGTACAGCACTTTTAATTTTTAATAAGGCATTGTACAGCCAATATCTATAATTTAGAGTTACCAAGTCTGGGTACTGTTTTTCAAACAAATATTCAGAAATGTAAGCATCATCACTTAGGTATACTGGTGCTAAAGCAAAGATGGATTTAGAAGATATTCTTTTCATGAAATTATCACTGTAAAAAAGACTAAGCTGCAAGACACTAGAGCTATCGAAACCATAATTTGAACTATGATGTTCTCTTCCCAAAATTGGCTCTTATTTTAAAAAGAAAAAGAAATGACACAACAACTGAAACACATATAGAGTGAAGGACATTTTACTACTGTACGCTAAGTGACAATAGGGTCAACTTATTACATCACAGCACGGTTGGATACCAGCAAATATTTTCTTTATAGAACACAAGGTCCACCAAAACCTTAATCAGAAATTTGCTAGACCATTATAAAATCAGCAAATATGATCCTCAAGCGAGCACACAAACATCACTTTATATATCAGAACATTACATCATCTCTAGGAGGTCTAGAAAGTTTCTTTACAAACACAACTAAAACAACTCTGGGCTACAAACTTTACATGACCGACAGTACAGTATACAATTGAGAGAATGCAGACAAATGCAATTTACTGAAGGAAAAGATGAATTACCCTATGGCAGCTGGTCATCTCTCTGCTAGTAGATGCCAACAAACAAACAAGTATTTTGCAAAAACTCTCTCTCCAATACAGGCTCACATTGTGCCCCCAACATCTGTGCATAGAGGGTCCCCTCCATATGCAGATATCCCCACTCTCCCAAGCGGAAGAGAGGACTCAGCTTCCTCCCTGACACCACTCCCCTCAGGCTTCTTCAAAGAGCCAGAGATATGAACTGGGCAAGGACAGGAGACTGGGTGGGCTAGAAGGGCTGTCTCCCAACCAGCTCCACAGACTTTGGGTAAATATATTATCCAGCCCCAGGATATATTGTCTTTTCCATGTCACCCTCCCAACTGCTGCTAGAGTAGCACATGACCAGAGGCAGGAGACCTTTAAGGGACTGAGTTGTATAGGTCCAAGATTTCTGCATGGACGTGCCTGGAGATTTGCAAGGTTTAGGGGCAAGTGATGTGACCATTTCTGCAAGATGAAGAAAGAAGCAAATGGGCCCCTCCAAATAGGACTATGTGTGAGGACCTCCACAAATAGATCCCCATGGAGATTTCCTCCCCCAGCCCAACTTTGTGTGTTGGGAGGAGACAAACTGAGCAGATGGCATCACTGGCAAAGCAAGAGCAAAATGTGCCTTTCATTAACCTTTCTCTCCACTACTTCTCTCTGAAAAACAGGAATGCTGGAGGTGGAAATCAGGCAAAAAGAATTTTCTATCAACAGCAACAGCATTGAAACAAATTATTTTCTCAAATTTCAACAATTAATATGCAAGAATGCCCAGAGGAACAGTAACACTTGGCCAATAGACAAGAAGAAGTAACTTTTAGGAATGCAGTAGCAGAAAATTAAACAAATTCAACACCTCCCAAAAAACAATTATTTATTTTCCATTGAGAAATTTTAAAAAATTATATTTTATGCACACAAACATATCAGCCGAAATGCCAATTACCTTTACAATCTGAATGCCCATGGAGTCATCATCAGGATTACTTCTGTCATTGAAAGTGAAGCGCATAGTTTTATCCCAGTCAATTGCTATACTATGTAAGTAGTGATCTGCTAGGGTCAGCCAAACCTAAAGATACATACAACATGACAATACGATGCATTATTCGATTCCTATTTTAAAATAAGATCAGTTTATACATACTGGTATGTAATTCTATGAATCTCACAAGTTCTAGCCAGATGTGATTTTCCTTTAGATTCAACAAATGCAGAAGGGGGAAAAGAAGGATATACATCTTTTCTGAGTCTAAACAATTTCTATATAATAAAAGCGATACCCTTGCTTTCTAAAATGCAATAGATGGCTCAGTCCTGAAGGTGTTACTCAGGTAGAATTCCTACCAACTTCCAGGGGAACTTTGTGTGAATAAAAACCAAGGCCCCAGCCATTTCCTGAGGATCCTCCATGTGACTGTCTTCCGTGCATGAGAAGAACTGAGGGTGCTAGCTATCTTCACAGCACTATCTCTCACAGACATAGGGATCAGGAATCCAAATGTAAGGGAGAGTCTGATCTGCAAGACTGGTAAAGGTAGGGCCAGGTGTACTGCTCACATCATTTCTTCCACCACATGGTAATCAACAGGGAATCTGTTGAAAAGATAACACAGCCCCAAGCTGCCCATTCCACAAACTTCATGCTGGAATGATCTGCTGGAAAACCTGCAAGAGAAACCTTGCAGAATTTCTCTCCCTGATAGCTCTCTTTGGGCAAAGGAGGGTTCTGTTTTTGGGTTTTTTTTAATACAAAGGAGCAGGTGATTTGCCCCAGAGTAGGGACTTCAGGGTTGGATCCAAAGAATTATTTGGTTTATACTAAGCAACTGTGACTAGATGGGTTCATGAACTCTTGGCATCCAGATGTATTTTTGAAACATTAGCCTGGTTTCAAGCACAGGGACTACATACATAGCATGCTCTGAGGCGCATCTGTGACTCTAGGCTAGTATACAGCCTATGAAGTTAGGAAGAAAATATTGGATTCTGTAAAGAAATGCTGGACTTTAAACAAAGATACAAGGAACCTTACAGATAGGGATATCATGGTGAATGTCATTTTCTCTAAATGATAACTGGATGAGCCCATCTTTAAAGGGGAGATTTCTACATCCACACTAGAAAAATAAAATCAGTGCTTAAAATAGCGGAACTTATCAGAAGAGCCCACAGGTACAATGCAGATTCAGAACCTCTTTGCTAAGTAACTTTTGAACTCCCACTCCAATTTGTTGATTATTAACAGGCTAACAGATACCAATTTAGTAAAGAGCATTGGTATATAATTTTACCTAATTCTAGGCAGGGTGGTAGGCCACAACATAACAATGGTTAACAATGACAAAGGATTGCTTTGCAGGGGGGTGGAAGAAATGGTGAAAGGGAAGGGGAGTTGATCTACATATTCCAAATGAGAAAAGCCATTCCCACACTTCCCACAGTAATAAACACTTAAACATTCACCTACAGCTCTCAGAATCAGAGATTCCCTGCATTTCCCCTCTCCCACACACTACAGATCTCTGATGTAGAGGAACTACTTGTGCTGCTGCTGCACCTCCACACAGCATTTGCTAGTCGGGAGAGCAGTAAAATGAAACTCCACTGATGCTTGCTGGTTTCATAGTCCATTTCTGCTGGGCCAAGAGGAAAAGTGTCCTGTACAAAAGGAGCAGCATGGATACTGTCCTCCACCTGTGCTGGAGAAAGTTTAACCTTTGCCCTGGCTCTGCCCACCCCTATCAGCTGAGGAGGATCTCTCACTGGGCTGGAGCAGTGTAGAATGCTTCCTCCTAGTTCAGCAGAAATGTGAAAGAGTGTGAGGGAGCCAATGCCAGTTCCATTCCACTTGCTCCTCTGGCTAGCTAAACAACGAGTGCATGAGCAACAGCATAGATATGGTCTAGGTGAGGGGGAGGAAAAAGAGCCTGTACATTGCGTCACTCTTTGCAAAGCTTCACAGAACAAGTAACAGAGCAATAGCAAATGGGTTATTAGAGGGGAGGAGGGAGAAAGACTTCATTATAGGGAAGAAAATGACAGCTGAAAGACTCCAATGTGATGCAAATGGACTACTTATTAAAACAATTAGGGGGGAATGATACCCCTATGATTGTTTATTTTATTCTCTCTTAACCTGAAAGAGCAAATGGTTTGGGTTGGAGGGATAGGGAGTGTGAGACTATCCACCCCGGTGAGACCTAGGTGAACTATGGTTTTAAACTGAGTTAGGATATTAGCAGGAGCAATAGGCCCAAAGCCTGTGACCAAAAAGAATGAGATCATGAGAAAGAAGAGTTGTGTTAAACCTGTAGTGATCCTGTGAAATACCAGTCTTATCTTAAGGTTTGGGCTGAAATAGAAATAAAACACAGTTAACTGGGCATCATGTGCAATAAATAATTGGCTATGTGAGAAACTACTTCATACCGCCTTAGCTAAGGTGCAATAATTTGCAGTGACATCACTTGTTTCTTAAAGGGTATAAAAAAGTAAACTCTTCAAGGGTTCATTGCTAATACCTGCCTGACCACGTTGGGAGTAGACCAATATGGGTCTAAGCATCCTTAGCCCATTTGTAAGTAATTTTGATCATATGCCTATAAATATTTTGTTACTGTTTGGCTGGAGTAAATTGCTATTATTTAGGCTTTACAGGCATATTTAGAGTAATTGTTATAAATACCATTTGCCCTTTGGATTTAATAAAAGAATTTATGGTTAAATTAGTGTCATGGTAATACCCTGCATAAATAATAATAATAATTCCAAAAGGGAGTAAGAAAGGAAAAGGAGAAAGATCCCAACATGCAAAAATTATATTAAACCATGTATATATCTTACGTATGTTTTAATCCTTCTGTAGGGTTGCTTGCACGAAATTGAGGCCAGAATATGTCCCACATTTAGTCAATGTTCAGCTATTGGGAAAGATTCATCAGCACAAACTCTTGGTGTAGATGGAGTAAAGTGATAAAAGCCAAAATCTGTGCTGGTACAGCTTACGTAAATTTCAAGAATGAGCAACACCACTAGTGTAAACAGCAGCTTTGCCTGTCTGTGCAACAGTGCAGCTCCACGAGTGGCTGGTCCTTGATAGTTTTGAACCAGCAAAAATCCCCAGTGCATACAAAGCCTAAGACTCTCAAATTCATACCATCTCTAAACCACATGCAATTGCAATTATCTTGTGAAGTGTACAGATCTACCTACCTTCCTCCTCCACTCCTTTGGTATTCCTGTTGGCAGTCTGGCCACTGCTTTGAGAGCATCATACCACTAAAAGCAAAAACATCCAGCATAGGAAACATATGGAATTAGTTTAATTCAGAAATGTGGGCATATGTGCAATACTGCAAGTAAGAAACATTCATTTTATTTCCCATGTTTAAGAAATTAAATGCTTAGCCATAAGATGGACCAGTGCCTAGAGTTAATACAGAAACCCTAATTAAAGGCAAAATATAATCTTATAAGACTAATACTTTATGTATATAAAAAAAATATAAGACTCTGACATTATGAGAATTCTGAGATGTCAGAGAAAACAAAGGAATTGCATTACAATTTCCAAAATGTTAGTTGGAACAAATCTTTATGTAGTGGCAACTAATATACCCACATTAAGATACAAAATAAAGCAATGCATATTTCAAGTAACACAAGTACACTGAAAAGGAAATTTTAGTCTGCTAAAAACAAGTGAAAATAAATGAAGTTACCTGCTGAAAACCATTTTGACCTAAAGATGGTTCAAGAGTGAACTTCAACTTTGTATCAACCCCTAGAGACAATAGTAAAACAAAAGGGAAAAAAGACAAACCAAAATCATTGGTTTACTATTTAGAAAAGGAAAAAATTAAATCAAGTCAAAAGAAAATACAGAACTCTAAATTGAACTACTGTATGTAATTCTGAATGACTGCATTCTATTCCTGTTTCCATCAATTCCTGTTTTCAAAGCAAACTGAAGGTGTATGTTAAAAAGTGTACATATAACGCTTTAAAAATGGAATAATCCCCTGTTCAGTATATTACTGTTGTTCAGCATAACATATTTTGCTAAGATCACTACATACTGAGGGATCCCCTACGTGGACATTGTACACTCTGCGCACATTGTGAGAAAGTCAGAGCTCTTTTCCATTACCACAGGTTTTATAATAAATAACCTGTTGTAATGGAATGTTATATAAATAAAATAAAAACTTGTTACAATGGAAAAGTCCACAAGATAAGAGAGGGAAGGTAAAGAGCTCTGACATTTTTATAAATAATTTGAGCACAGTGTTCAATGTCCATGTAGGGATTCCTCAGTATGCAGTGAGCTGCATGACCCTTAACAAAGTATCTGATGCTAAACCACAGTAATATACTGAACAGGGGATCATTCTGTTTTTAAAGCATGATATCTATATATAAAAATATAAACTAGCTTTTCTTTCCATATGCTTCAATTTATGGATATTAAAACACCGGATGCTCATTTTTATTTTGTTACATTAATAAAATCAGTATATTGCTCAGTATGTAATATTTAATAACTTATCCTTTATCCATATTCTGTTTAAGTTTGGCTAGTACTCCCATTTAAACTTAAGAGTTTCTTCTGGCTATAAAAGCAATCAATGTTAATTAATCTTTTTAATACAGATAACACATTTTTAAAATGCAAACTCAGGTGTGAGACTAGGATCTCAGGCTTGGCCTGTAATAGATTCTGATTATGGCATCTGGACACAACATAATATATATAATAATACATATAATCTGATTTATGTCTGTATGTTAGATTAAATCAGTCCTCAATCATTCAGAATGTCGCTGTCCAAAACCAAGGTGCTGAACAGTCCAATATTTCATTCTTCACATTCTCTTGCACTAACTGATATCAGAGGAATGCATACAAAAGAATAAAGCCCTTCTTAAAGACATTTTTCCGGCAACATTAGATTAATGGCATCATGTGTGCTCTGTATTTAAAATGTTTCCATATGAAGGTTGTCTTTCCAAAGATACAGATTCATGGATCAACACTTTGTACATAATTTTTTATATCAACGTAAAGAGCTCAGTGCTGCAAGCTGCCAAATGCCTTAAATGTAAGGTAATTCATCAGAAACACTCCACATTTTACTGGATTAGGCCTTGTGTGTTTGGAAAAAAAAAAGTAGCGCCATTTGCTAATGCTTGGTAGTTAAGTTTTGACAGTATTTCCATATGAAACTAATTATGAGGTGTTTAGAACCTGACTGGTGGGGGAAAGGTAGTATACAAAGGTTTAGACTGAAAGCAAAGTTTAAAAAAAAAAGCAAATCTACCCTAGATTTGGCCATTTAAAAACTGTATCAGGGAATTTACCATTTGGATGCTTTTATCTGCACTGTTCAGCTAATAACAGCCTTACTGGGTTTGGGGATATTAAAGCATTTGTCCATATTAATATTTTCAATACCTTAAAAAAAGGAGCCGTTTTTGAACATTTTGGTGCTTATACCTTGCAGTTACTACTTATTGGGATTCACTTCCCACACCCCGGGACTCAAAAGGAGCCCGATCACATTTGCTGCAAACACGTGTCAACAAAACAACAGTTGAACAAAACAAGGTCTCATCCCTAAACAGTCTATTACTGAGTACAGGAAACAATAAGGACTTACAGCAATTTATGTAAATTCAGGCCAATAGCTAGCTGCAACTTTTGTTAAAGTGTAACTCCAGATGACACTTTAAGGTAACATGTTCTGGTATCAGCAAAAGGTAGATGGAAGCAATAGCCCTCCAGAATAGTCATGCACTCTCCCCCAACTGAGTACACAAATACAGAAAGCATTCCAGCTTTCCAAGGCTTAAAGACCCACCTAATACCAAGGCCTCTGTATTCCTGCAATTTACACGAGGAAAATACCTCTAGCAAAGCCAGCCGGGAGTAGTGAAGGGTGTGTCTGGACAAATACAATCTTGAAAACAGGCAAAATGTTATCCACCTGGTGTTTGAACCTCAAGATCGAAGACCTCAGACATGGCAGCAGATACAGTGGAGACTTGTTCCAAATAAATGAGATCTAAGGACTCCCAGATCTCAACTCACAAATATCTTCCAGATGATGGCACTGAATTAATAAAGGTGTGATGTCACTAGGCAGAAAAGAGAGACTGCTGTCTGCAGAGTGCCCAGGGAGATACACTGACATGGCCATCCTGAGTTAGACCAATTGACTGGGCATCTCTTGAAGATTAATTAATGACTTCTTACCATATTGTTTTGCCTTATATAAAAGAGCCACAGATCAAAATTTGGAGGCATAGAGTAGGCGTCATCTCCAAGGTGAGTGTCAGAATGAGGCCTGCCCAGAACCCTAGCAATCTGCTCACTAATTCACAGCACACCAAAAATTGCTGTAGAGAAGCCGTTTGATGTAGGAGAATCTCCCCCTCCACAAGTTAGTCAACCAGACGAAAGCTGCCGCCACATATCATTCCAGTAATTTTCCACTGTTAGGACATCCATCCTTTCAGGAGTCCCAAAACCTAGTACAGCCCTCCATTTTCTGTCTCATGAGCATCTGACACACATCACGGACATCAGCTACTTGAGCACAGAAAGATATAGTAGCCAAGTAAGAAGACTTGGTGGAATAATCAAAACCCCATTCCTCAATTTCAGCAATGAACTACTCCACAGGGACAGGAGTATTGGGCCAAAAGTTTGGGAACTCTTCAGTAGCTCCACAGGAAGGTTGTGTGTTATGACCCCCATGTTCTTGGGGGCATGGATTAGTCAACTAGTCTTAACCCACCCAAACATTTCCAATCCAATCACCACAGGCTCTGACTGTATCATAAGAGCAGCTGCTGAAATCTCTTCCACTGACAGTAACTGAAAGTGAACAATGCTAGTATCAACACCTAACCTGTACCTAACCAGAAACTGATGTTACGTCCTAAACAAAGGAGGAAAGGCCGTACAGCAGCTGGGCTCTCAAAATTTAGTGATGCAAACTACAGTCTAATTGTTGGTTCAAAAACAAAAAAAAGCCATGCTGTTTTGTCCCACAATTTGTTCTATAACTTATATTCACCCATGTAAGGGGTAGTGAAAGCAGTGTCTGGAGCAATCTTCCATGCAATCCACTACCCTAGCAACCACCGCGCACACCAGGACATAATGAAGTATGCAATGAAACTGGCCCCCAGAGGCTTCCCCAATACATACGGATATCAGCAGATACATACAAAGCCAGAATGAGACCCCTTAAGTTTATTCAACAATGAGGCACAAAACGTTCAAATCCTCCCTGATCTCCAGGATGATGATATGGTAGCAGGTAACCCCAGCTATGGCATCACTGGGCTTCCTGCTAGCAGCTCACTTTGAGACTACAGAAACTCCAAACCACGACCTAATCCACTGCTAGATGTGAGACGGTGATGTGCTTCTGGTATCAGCTCCTCTACCCTGTCCTGGGGATGAAGGATGAGTGTCACAGCTGCAGGCAGGAATCTCTGTGCAATTTATCTATAAAGCTTGACAGAATAATGGCAGTGTCTCCAATATTAGGAGGCTACTGCATGAGCTGGTGTCAGCTGGGGGCAGGACCCACAGAGCAGTTGGGACCTGGGGGCATATTAAAAAAAATACAATGAAGTCTGTGTCAAAGAACCCTATTTTTGGTAACCAGCAGCCCTATGAAACAGGTTATCCCCAAGAACTTTACAATGTAAATATATTAAGCAAATACTTCTCCAACATAACCAGAGACCATCCAGAATTGCTCTCAAATACAGAAGAAATTTGCTTAAGTTATCAGCTTACTCACTTTGCACTTGACTGCTCATAAGGCACATTGTATATACACATGTAGTGCAATGGGAAACTCTGCACTTTGTATAGAGCTATGTATTCCTTTAAGATTTAATACTCATTCATGAGACACTAGTTAAAAATAATTATGTTACAGTTTTACTTCTTTTATGTTCATGATAACCCGCAGACAAATTAATGTTTCACCTACAAATGATTAAACATCTATTATTAAGTATATGTATTTCTAGTATTTTATAAAAATAAAATGATTTAAATATTTATATTTTCAGTGTTTTATAAACAAAACAAAATTTTGGAATCAAATAACTGAGTCCCCTTGGCTTTCTAGTAAGCTGCAGATCCACCTTTGTTAAAGGCCACCTTGCTTAAGAGATCTCATTTTGCTGGTCCCCTGAGCAGCCACTTAATAAAGGCTTTGCTTTATTTGAAACTGAAGTAGTTTCTAGGGAAAAAATAGATGCAAAATTTATGACTGCCCCTTTAAGAAAACAGTCTTCTTTGTAAAAAGAAAAGGAGTACTTGTGACACCTTAGAGACTAACAAATTTATTTGAGAGTAAGCTTTCGTGAGCTACAGCTCACTTCATCAGATGCATTCAGTGGAAAATACAGTGGAGAGATTTATATACATAGAAAACATGAAACAATGGGTGTTACCATACACACTGTAACAAGAGTGATCAGGTAAGGTGAGCTATTACCAGCAGAAGAGCGGGGGAGGGGGGGACAGACCTTTTGTAGTGATAATCAAGGTGGGCCATTTCCAGCAGTTGACAAGAATGTCTGAGGAACAGCGGGGGGGGGGGGGGGAGGAGGAATAAACATGGGGAAATAGATTTACTTTGTATAATGACCCATCCACTCCCAGTCTTTATTCAAGCCTAAGTTAATTGTATCCAGTTTGCAAATTAATTCCAATTCAGCAGTCTCTCTATTTCCCCATGTTTATTCCCCCCCCCCCCCCACGTTCTTGTCAACTGCTGGAAATGGCCCACCTTGATTATCTCTACAAAAGCCCCCCCCCCCACTCTCCTGCTGGTAATAGCTCACCTTAAGTGACCACTCTCATTACAGTGTGTATGGTAACACCCATTGTTTCATGTTTTCTATGTATATAAATCTCCCCACTGTATTTTCCACTGAATGCATCCGATGAAGTGAGCTGTAGCTCACGAAAACTTATGCTTAAATAAATTTGTTAGTCTCTAAGGTGCCACAAGTACTCCTTTTCTTTTTGCGAATACAGACTAACACGGCTGCTACTCTGAAACCAGTCTTCTTTGTGTATTTAGACAATACACTTCTTCAAAGAGCAGATAAGACAAAGGAATTTCCCCAGGTCAAGTGCTCCCAATAAGGGTGGGGAAATGTGGAGAGTAGGGCTCTGAGAGCATGGCTTCCACAGAAAGTGGAAGGGAGAGAGAAGAGATTGCTCAGATGCAGGGAGCTCTGCCATTCAGAGGAGGATAAGTAATGCAAAAAGACCCACCCAGCTACAGTGTGGCTGAAGTGCTGTCACAAAGAGGGACAGGGGATGGCAAAGCAGTGCAAGGCAAAGAAGAAAGCAAAGACTAGGCGGGGGGGGGGGGGGGGAGAGCAGGCACGAGCCTGATGGGAGAAGAGCTAGAGCAGGCCAGCTGGACCAAGAACCCTTCCCAGAGAAGGTCAGGAAACGAACAAGCCCAACTGCGGGTGGCATGGCCCATTGCGGCAGGCCTCCCCATAGACTGCACAACATTGCCGGGGGGCAGGCGGACGGACGGGGCGGGGGGGGGGCTGCTTCCACCCATCCCCTCGCCAGAGAGGAGTGGCCATCTGCCCTTCTGGGAGGGCTCATTGGCCGGTGGGTCCTGCCATTGCCCCCCAGGGGTGAGGCCGGTCCTCAGGTACCACCCCAGCTGCCAGGGCCCAACGGCTCCAAGGGCACCTCAGAGAGCCACATCCACACGCGGCGTTTCTCCCTGTCTTAGCGGGGTGCCCGACAGGGCCTGTCACGGAGGGATGGCCAAGTGCCCTCAGCCGTTCCTCCCAGAGACGCTGACTCGCAGCTCAGCGGCAAAGCCCAGACCGTGCGGCCAGGACCCGGCCTGGCCTCGCCGCAGAGCGGCCCCAGCAGGACACGGCGATTCGCGGGCGGGTACCAGGCCGGCCGGACCGAGGCGGCGGCAGGGCGGGGAGCTGCGCGCCTGGGGGGCTTCACAGTGAGCGCGGGGACGGGACAGTCGCCTCTCGGCAGCCCGACGCCGGGCACGAGGAGGGTTTTTTAATGCCGATGCCGAGCGCACTCGCTGCCTCACGGCAGGGGGCCGCGCCGCCTCTCCCAGCACAGCCCTGCAGCGCGGCGCTGGAGCGGCTGCGGCTGAGAGCGAGCGGCCATTTGCCGTGGGCACGTCCTTGAGAGACACGCCCGAGGCGCCCCCGGCCCCTCGCCCCGCGAGCGGTGCCTACCCGGGGATTTCATCTCCGTCCTGCTCCCCGCCCGGGAGAAGCGCGTGTCCGTGACGGGCAGCAGCCGCCCGCGCTCCTCTCCGCCGCCCCCCACGCCGCGCCCCCGGCCGGGGTAAGCCTGGCTCAGAGCATTAGGGAAGCAGCCGCTGCACAGCGGCGCCACTTTCAAACCCAAGCCCAGCCCGGCCGGGCCAGCGGAGCAGAGCCCGGGGAGGTCCTTCGCCCGCCCCTGGCCCACGCACACGCTACCTGGCTCCAAGGTGCAGAGCAGGCGAGGAGCCGTCCTGGAAATACAGCTCCTCTTCTTTAACACATTGCTCAGGATGGTGCCCACGCCGCCGCCTGTGTTTTGCCTCTTTAAACATCTTCCCCCACGTCTCAGGGAGCCCGTCAGCTTGTCTTGTCTCATGGGTGCCCACGGGGCTGAGACCAACCATCCACGCTGTGCCAGCAGCGGCCTCTCCCCGGCAGGTGCAGCCCAGCTCCCTCCGGGAGGCAAATTCAGCTGGAGTTCTGCTTTATTTACAGCTTTGCAAGGCTTCCCTTTGAGACCGAGATCTCTCCCAAACAAGGCATTAGGGCAGCAGGCGGGCCGGTCTGCGAGACACTACAAGGAGACAGGGCGTAGGGCGCTGGAGTGTGTTGCAGAAGCTCTCTTTGCTGGAGGACATCTGCAGTGCAGAGACAGCAAAGTCGAGGTGCCGAAGAGAAGGGGGGAAGCGGAGCCCGCCCACAATCCCTCCCAGCATCACTGACTGAAAACCCAGCAGAGTTCCCTCCGCCTCCTCCAGCACCACCGGGGAGCAAGCAGGCAGCAATCTGAAGGAAGCAGCAGCTTGGTTTAAAAATAAAGTGAATCTCAAGAGTGACTGGATTGCAGCATCTATCAAAGATTTTGTCACAGCAACACAGGAAGGGTTGGGAGGAGCAGTGCCACTGAACACTTGGGTACATTCCGTGTGCTACGTATACAGCACTTTAATAATGCAGGAAAGCAGCTGCTGCTGACTCTGCTTTGTAAACAGATAAGCCAGCACAAGCTATAATGACATGTCTAAGAACCTATATGCCTATTATTTTTCAACAATGGTCAAGACTGATATTTCTGCAAAGGATTAATAGCAGTTACACCCTTACAGGCCCAGATTTGAATGTGTTTTAAAATCACGCTCAGCATTAAATTCCAACCTAAATGCATAGAAACACATATGATATGTACTGTATCATCACCCACTGCTGACAGCCCTCCTGAGAAAGAGGCCCATATGTGCTGCAATACCCTGAAGCAATGAAAGGAAGAAGGATGCTACTGCTTACTCCTTTCACTAGGACAGTCTGACACCAAGTACTGCAGTCCAACCCTGGAGATAGGAAGCGTGCCCAGAATGTCAGTTTGAAAATTCAAAAACTGAACTCTACCCAGTAAAAGTCGTTAAAATTTAAATTTGAAAATTTAGCTATTTCCAACAACATTTTAAGCGGGCTTGTTACACAAATAAGGAATAACTCCACAGAATTTCACTTCAAACTAGATTTTGATTTAATGGTTAGGGGAAAAGCACTTCAAACAAGGGTAGTTTTTACAATTCTTGCTGTTCTATTATTCAGTGAAAGGTTAACGGATTTATGTCAGTTTAATTGACTCAATCTCAAAAACTGAGTTACAAGTTGTTCCAGCTACTAACACCTGCTTCTGATTGCACCTGCCAATTTTTGTTGTTTAAAACCTGAAGTTTGCTATTTTTTAAATACATTTTTATCTCCCTTGTTTCTTTGTGAAAGACATACAAACAACAGGCAAACTGACTACAGTGAAACACACAAAGTGGGCGAAGTAATATCTTGTACTGGCTCTTCTGTTGGTGAGAGAGGACAAGCTTTTGAACATACATAGAGGTCTTCTTCAGTTCTTCCCAGACCTGAAGAAGAGCTCTGTGTAAACTCAAAATCTAGTTTCCCTCAGCAACAGAAGATATTACCTCACCCACTTTGTTTCTCTAATATCTACTCCTGGGGGAATTCTGTGCCAAAAACATAAAAATTCTGCAGATATTCTACAATATTATAAAATTGTGCATATTTTATTTGTCAAAATAACACAATAAAATCCCTCTGGTTTCAATTATTTCAGTTATTTATTTAAATTACAATACAATGGATGGAGAATGGGAGTGGGGAGCATTGGAGGAAATCCCCAACGCCGCTTGCCTAACAGTAATATAATTAGGTTTGACCATCTATTTCTAGTTAGTACTCAACATTATAGGTAAGGCTGCGAGTTTGCCAATGGGAGCTGTGAAGCCAGTCCTGTGGGTGGAGGCAGTGCTGAGCAAGGGGGATGTCGCTGCTGCTGAGGAGCCCCCCAGTAAGCACCGCCCAGAGCCCACCTCACTCCATCCTGTACCCCAACCCCCTGCCCTCTCCCACACCCAAATTCTGTTGCTGCTGGGGTGGGAGGGGAGGCACAGAGCTAGATAGGGAGTCTGCCATCCCCACCATCCCTCCCCCCCCGCCCTCCCCCGCAGCACCAGCGAGGGTCCTGGGCCGCACATCACTGCCCACCCCCCACTCCAGCACCCAGGCCGCCCTCCCGCAGCACCCCCAGGTAGCCCCCCTCCAAGTTTTAGTCACAGGTATTTTTAGTAAAAGTCATGGACGGGTCACCTGCTGTGAATTTTTGTTTACTGCCCATGACCTCTCTGTGACTTTTACTAAAAATACCCGTGACTAAAACATAGCCTTAATTATAGGCAACTGAAGAGCAAGTGAGGGCTGGATTTATATTGGCTACTGACCATCTCTAGAAAGGTAAACAGCAAACAGTTCGTGGAGCACATTCTGATATGAAATTATTTCAGTCCAAAAATTTAGACCAGTTCTAATCAATAAAGCACCATAAGCATTTATAAGGCCATACTGTCCTTTACATCACTCTGGCAATGTAAAGGAGCCTTAAAACTTTTACACATGTTTTATACTCCTGGGGGAATTCACAAAGAAAATGGGAACAATTCACTAAGCAGGCAGGCTGCTATATTCTGCTCTGCCTGAGGGGACAGTGCCTGTCCCATGCCTACCTCTTCAGAAACACCCTGAAGCCCTGCTCCTCCATGCCAAACGTGCTGCAATAGCAAACGAGAGGGACACAGTTTCTCTCTCTCTCTCTCTCACAACTGCACATTTCTTCCTCCCTCTCGCCAAGCATATAATTTATTTTAAATGAAGATTAGATTCTACAGGAGTGGATGGTACTGGTCCCTTCCCATGCACCAGCAAGCTTCTTACTTCCCAGCGAGGCCTGCTCTTTACTGTTCACCTATCAGGATTAAGGCTACGATTCTCTCACGGAGGTCACAGAAGTCACAGATTCTGTGACTTTCCATGACCTCCGCTACTTCCACAGCGGCTGGTGCAGCTGACTCCAGGGCCACCCGGGGGGTGCCTGAGCAACAGCCTTCGGTGGTCCCCCAGGGCCAGCCACACTGGCCACTGCTGAGGCATCCCTGGGCAGCTGGTTCTGGGAACTGCCTGAGCAGCAGCCGGTGTAGCTGGCTCCTGAGAGCGCCCAAGCAGTGGTCCTGGGGGCACCCTGGGGACTGCCCGAGCAGCAGTGGTCCCAGGGTGGCTAGAACAGTGGCTCTAGGGATGCCCAGAGGCCATCCGGAGAGCAGTGGTGGAGGCAATCAACTCCCAGCACTGGAGCAGGGCCCCCTCAGAGCTGGGGGCCCCTGGAGCAGCAGGGTCGCAGAAGTACAGATTTAGTCAGGGTTATTTTTGGTAAAAGTCATGGACAGGTCAGGGACTGGGAAATTTTATTTTTATTTTATTTATTGCCTGTGACCTGTCCATGACTTTTATCGAAAATATCCGTAACTAAATCTTAGCCTTAATCAGGAACCTTGTGGCTGCAGACACATTGAACCTGGTAAACTTCTGCAATAGAGCGTATAATCTGCTGGCCTGCTCCACACCAAGCTACAGATTTTCTGTGTTTCTCATACTTTGCTGCTTTGCACACACTGCAGCATCCCAGTGAGGGGATAAGTAACAAAACTTATAGGGAGAGGGAGACTTGCCTATCCATGCTTTTAGATCCCACTGGTGGTGAAACTACTCAGAAAAATGTACCTCTTAATCTTTATTTGGCAAATTCTGGGTTAGAAAACTAGCACTTAGAATCTCTCACACATTTAAACATCTGATGAAAACACCTATAAATATGTACACATAGAGAAAACATCTGATATTAGGAGTTCTCAAATCTAGTAGCCAAAGGCATAGCAAGATCCAGTGTCTGGAAGTTGAAGTTAGAAAAATTCAGATTGGAAATAAGATGGAACTTTTTAATGAGGGGCAATTAACCACTGGAACCAAGGAAATTGGTAGATTCATATAATTTAACACAGAGATTGTACATCTTTTAGAAAGCTGTCCAAACAGGTATTGGGCTTACATTCACTTACACGGTAGGGAAGAATACATTTCCTATTATTAATATTATAGTAGCATCTAAAAGCCCCAACCAAGATCAGGACCTCATTGTGCTAGGCACTGTACAAACACATAGTGAGAGACAGCATCTGCTCTGAGGGGATTACATCTAAATAGTCAAGACAAACAGAATGTGGGAAAGAAAACACTGAAGAATTACTGGATGAAATTCTATGGTCCTCATTATGCAGGTCAAACTAGGGAATAATGGTAGTCCTTAAAATCTATGAACCCTTAAAAAAAATCTATGAACATTTAATTACCGGGCACTGGCTAAAAGCACATCGTCATTCACAACCATGGTCATGTTGTTTGATTGACTCAGGACGTGGTGCCCTTCAGCCTGGGCTGGAACTTTCGAAGCACCAGCTTGATTGCTCTCAGTTCTAAGGAAGGCTATGCTGTGGGTCCTTTCCTCTAAGTTCCAGATGCCTTGAGCTGTTTGGGTCTCCTGAATTGTGCTCCTCAGCCCTCTAGGCTGGCATCAGTTGTGACAATCAGGGGATCAGGAAGGCATATGGGCATGCCCTTGTGGACACTGCACTGAGCTAACCACCTGTGCAAGAACTCTCACTTGATCTCTCACACATTCCAGGAAGTGGTCCCATACCTTTAAGAGGAAGTCTTGAAGGCGCCTGATGTGTGAATGAGCCCATGGAGTGATCCCTATGCACAGTACTAGGAGGTTGAAGTCTCAGCACCAGCAGTTCCAAATCAATGCCAGGAGGTTTTGAATCTTCTGAACCTCTCTAGAGATGGATATATCCTTGCTATTAAGCTGCCTGTGTTCACTTCCAAGTGAGTTATTTGGGTGGATGGAATCAGGGAGCTTTTTTTGATGTTGATAATAAAGCCATCCACCTGCAGGAGATTCAAGGTCAGGGATATAGCTCTGCATGCCCTTGCTGGGGATGGAGCTCTGATTTAGATGTCACCATGGAAGGGGTACAGGAAGATCTCCTGTGACCTGAGTCTGACTATGATTACCACTACCGTCTTTATAAAGACCTGAGGAGGTCGAAGGACAAGCCAAATGGGAGTGTCTGATATTGATAATGCTACCATAGGCAAACCTTAGGAATCTGAGATGGCAGGGTCTGATCAGGATGTGGAGGTATGTATCCACCAGATCCACTGAAGTCAGAAAATACCCCTGGGGCAGGAATGCCACTGTAGAGATTAGGGTCTCCATCCAGAATTTCATTTTCTTCATCTGCTTGTTGAGCTTTTTGAGATCTAGAATGGCTCAGATTTCCCCCTGAATGTTTCTGAACAATAAAGAAAATGGAGTAGAACCCTGAGAATCTTTCTTCTGAGGGAACACTCTATTACTCTGATATCCAGCAGGTTAGAAATGTCATTCTGGATTAGACTATTCTTTATGGGGTCATTTGGGATGGGGGACTATGAAAAACAGATGGGGTGGAGCCTGTAACACTAGGGATTATTCCTAAATCGCTATCACCCTGAGGCACTGATCCAAAGTCGAAGCAAACAACCCACCCATTCCTTCAGGAAATGGGAAATTCTGCTCCCAAACTTCCGCTCTGTGTAAAGACCTATGTAGTCTTTGTAATAAAGTGGCTTTGGGAGTGGCAGGGTTCCCTGGGGACTCCTCTTCTGAGCCATGGTACCATGACTTTCCACTGGAGATCCTGCTGTCTCTTTGCTGGTATTTCTGCAAGGATGAAGGCTGAAAGAAATGCCTTTGTCTGAAGGCCAGCCTGTATGCTCTCTTAAAGGGCTGGTGTGGTGTTGGGAAGGACTGTTTAGATATTGCAGCATTGTCCTCCACTATCTTGTCTAGTTTCTCTCCGAAAAGCAGGACTTCTGTGAATTTAGCAGAGCACAACACCTGCTTGGAGTGCCAGTCCACCTTCCAGGGATGGAGTCATAGGTGGTGCCTCGTCACTGAGCCAGAGCCCACGCCTTTAGCTGAGAATCTCATGTCCATTGAGGCATCTTCAATAAACACTGTTGCTAGGGGAACTTTCTTTAGAGCCAAAATTAGCATGATCTCTATTCTTGAGGGCTCTGAGATCTTCCAGCAAGGAGAGTGACAACCTCACAAAGCAAGTATCTGATCGGGACACCCCGAGGGAGGCTGAGGAAGCCTCAGAGTGTTCTTTGAGAGTGGCCTCAATTTTTCTCTGTGGGGTTCTTAGGACAGAACTCCCCTTCTGAGGGGATAACTATATCTTTAACCAGGAAAGTACATCAACATCAGCCTTCGGTATCTCAGTATTAGGGACTTTTAGTTCCTGAATCCTATAGAACCTAAGATCATTTCTGTTCATGTGCTTGCCCTGGTCTGGCTTATCCCACTCATCCCTGAAGGAGGACTATAGGGGAATTGTGGCTTCCAGGAGAAGATTTGGAATTTGCTCAGAAGCTTACTCCTAGGATTTTGTTTAGGTTGAATCTGAATAGTAGATAAAACTTTATTGTACATGGCCTCGAATTTCTCAGAGTATAGAAAAAAACAACAAACTTTGAGTCTTTCTCTGGTCCTGATCAGAGTTAGAGCCCAACAATTCACCACCCTCTGTGGAAGAGGAAGTGGAGTCAGGACTCATACCTCCTAGATCTTTTATGCTTCTTCTTCCCCCTTTTCACTTTCTTTGATTTTTTTAG